TTCCTCATTCTCGGCTCCTACATCTTGTTTCAGATGAGGATTTTACTACTATTCGCCTGTTCGATACTGCTTTCGTTCAACGAAGTGCTGAGGTGAGTCTTTTTTAGAATCCCTCTTTGATTTGATTCGAAAAGTTCTAGTAAGCCATGTCTTTTCAGCTTACGTCACCATCGACAACCTGCAGCCGAGGGAGAAATTCATGCTTTACTCGTAGCCGGTTCGAATGGATGGTACAATTATCGCCATCAGGTCTGAATTATTTCACTGGAAAGTTTTTGGAGAACTTTAACACATTGACGACATTGAGACGCGGTAACGCGTCTCACTTTGCGCACCTCGTTGGACATTGAGACGCGTTACCGCGTCTCACCCTTATCATCCCTTTTTCTAGGGCATGCGCAGCTTTTTCCCGAATTGTTTGTCTCTCTTCTATGGATTAGAACATAACATTATTGTGAACGACATAGGTCATTGTTTGTTCAAATATGCTCCAGTTTAGAAGAAGTTTTCCAAGCTCACCGAAACCGGCGGCTTGGTTCATTAATAGTTTTCATGCTATTCTCATGAACACGTCAATAAAAAAGGGTAGTGAAAGTAAATGCAAATCTAAAGAGACAGAAAAATACATGCTTCACTTGGTATAACCACATCAAAAGAGCTTTTGGCATCCACTACAGATAAAATGACTAAAATTTCCTTTTTCATTACCATTACATGTTCTTTAATCGGAACTTCGTCACTATATACTCTATTACCTTCTACGCATTGACTGTTACTGAGATGTTTTTGTACCACTGGTGCTTTAAAAAGTTATCAATAAAAATTCACGGATCCGAGGTGCGGCGGTCGCACTCGCAAAATCGGCCCGGTCCCACACGGCCAAAAAAGCCAAAACGCGCGCGGTCGTCAATGTGTTAAAGAGCATTCCACGATTAGTGACCACAGATCCTCTGCGAATAATGTGACCGCGTTCCTCGAGCGCACTGAACTGAAAGCTGGCATGCTGCACCCAGAGTTGATATAAGCGCACAAATGGCACACTCCAATCACCGACGCCTACCGTTGGGCGCCTGCGTCTGAGATATGCGTCCGTTACGTCTCTTATAGTTCTTCTGTTCTCTCCTACCAGCTGCTCCGGAAATTCCTAACATTTCTTATGCCCTCTGTTCTTCCTTTGCTGGGATTCGTACCCGGACTTCTTGCTTTCCGGGCAATTGTGCTACCAGTTACACCACCGGCAAAAAAAGCTTTCAGCCCTCACGAGTTAGCGGAAATCGCCTATCGGTTCATCACGTTATACGTGTGAATGCTGATAAGCTATGGTAACTTCACCATCGAAGCTGAGTTGGGGTGAAATGGTGCCCCGGTGGTGTAACTGGTAGCACAATTGCCCGGAAAGCAAGAGATCCGGGTACGAATCCCCGGCTGGGGCGAAAGTTTTGCCCACAACTCACAAGGAAAGGATCCCACCTCGACATGGCCTTTCAGGATGGGATGCATATTTCTGTACTAATCTTGGGACGCTGAATTCGAATCTGCCCTCCAAATCTGCTAAACGATTCTCTGAACGAAGTTGCGAAATCGTTTATCGGCGGAGAGTGCGTTCATGAGTCACTGGAGCCGCAACGGGGATGTGCTTCGGTGGCGCAGTTGGTAAGCGGATGGACTTGGGGACTCGAGATGGAGGTTCGAATCCTTGATGAGTACGCTAGTTTTGCCTTTTATCCTTTCGGCTCCTAAACTTTTGCAAAACGGTTCTAGACCCCTTTTTGACTAGTAGCACGCCTTTTCGACCGCGAACACGTGCTGAAAACAGGGTCTCCACGGAAAATTCCGTTTCAATGGAACCGCAAGCATCTTCCGTTTATGTAAAGGAACCTGAAGACTTTATTCAATGCGAGTATTACTGAAATCATTTAGAAACGTTTAAAGAACACATGTGATATCCTATTACAAAATGGTTGAAGCAAAAAAAAACTTTTCACAGTGTGAGCAGCGAATGAAGAGAGGGTCACTGCAGTCATTACTTTCACAAGCTTCTTCCATTTGAGATGAAAAACAGTACTGTACAGGTGTCTCAAATTCACCCGGGTGTGTCTCAAGGTACCCTGCTGCGTGCCATGAGTAGGAAAGAAAGTTCTTAAATCTAGGTGCCTTAAATAGGAAATAGACCAATGAAACAAGTCTTATTATGGAGTCGCGAGTGCTTAACCGAAAGTTCACATCATGAGCAATAACGTACGAGTTAAAACGCTTAAGCATAGCTTTAAAAGGCAGGAAAAAGTAAACGTCAAGGGGCTGGACTTGTGATGTTGCTCCAGGGGAATGTTTAGAATCTTCACCGTTCTGCCCGCTGGCAGAGCAGCCTTCATAGCTTCATGGTCCTTGAATGAGCTCCAGGAGTCCACGATTAGCAGAGTAGAAGAAGGAGAGTCCGTAGATCCGATGCAAGACCTAACCCAATCCAACATTAGCTCTTTGGTCATCATGTGCGAGGTGTTCGAAATGCGAAATCGAGCGATGGAGGTTGCGTACAATCCTCTCCTGGTCATTCCTTGAGCATTGGTGGTTGAAAATGAAATTTGTGCTCAAAACCCTGTTTTCAGCACGTGTTCGCGGTCGAAAAGGCGTGCTACTAGTCAAAAAGGGGTCTAGAACCGTTTTGCAAAAGTTTAGGAGCCGAAAGGATAAAAGGCAAAACTAGCGTACTCATCAAGGATTCGAACCTCCATCTCGAGTCCCCAAGTCCATCCGCTTACCAACTGCGCCACCGAAGCACATCCCGTTGCGGCTCCAGTGACTCATGAACGCACTCTCCGCCGATAAACGATTTCGCAACTTCGTTCAGAGAATCGTTTAGCAGATTTGGAGGGCAGATTCGAATTCAGCGTCCCAAGATTAGTACAGAAATATGCATCCCATCCTGAAAGGCCCATGTCGAGGTGGGATCCTTTCCTTGTCAGTCATAGTGAGCGTTGACAATTCTCACTAGTTAGTGTTTTTCATGCTGCTGCTTTTTCTGCCCTTCACAAGCAGTCTACCTCCTATATTCACTTCGAGCGCAACAACCGCACTTGGCAATCGTGAAGTGTGTCTTCAAGTCCAGCAAGCCAAAAAGCATCTACGAGCGCTAGTCCTCGAATGTGCAACCTACGTGAAAAGCGTTAGCAACTTCTTACTGCACCTAATGACAAAGAACGTATAGCTTACGATTTCCAATAATGAAAAAGTCCTACGACCCGCTTCTGCCTCCACCCCAAATTAGAGCATATCTCTGTAATCGATTCAGGACAATATTATGTCAGTTTTTGTTACCATCTGAACTCTGTTGGAGAAAAATAGAAACGATGCTATAAGGATAAAGGATAAAGCATTTGCCGTTGATCAATCCCTTTTTGGGATGCGGCACGCATTCTACTTCCATTTGTACATTCGCAGTGGCGTTTGAATGCGATGTGGCCTATACAATGACTTGCGGGGGCCAGCCGATGTACAAGTCAGTGTTTTTATCCTCCCAGACAAGTCTGGTACCAATTAACCGAGCCCCGGAAGGGATGGAAGGCTTGGTTGGCCCGCTTCCACGCGATGCGTCCGGGAATAAATCCGGCCTCACGACCCAGGATGGATCCCCGGCCGCTCGTGTGGTAAGCGCCACTTGTCACTGCACCCCTTCCGCCCATGCTCTCAGAATACAACAACAATTTAATACCTGTTCCCATTAAGGCTGACGTTGGTCATGCATACCATACGTTGAAGCGCCATGGGATTGCCGATGAAAATATTATTGTGATGATGTATGACGACATTGCCAAAAATCAGCAGTAAGTTGTTACTCGTACCGGTAATCAATTTTTCTAGGGCGTGTGCAGGTCAACTCTTTCTGTTTAAGGAATCCATATCCCGGAAAAATGTTCAACAAACCGCATGGAGACAATGTTTACGAAGGACTGAAGATTGACTACAAAGTTGGAGGTTTTTCAAATAGATAACCTTTTCTGTGTAGCCTGCCTAATGCTAAATCGGCCAACATCTGTTGAAAATTTGTATGAAAATCCTTGCAGGGCTCATCAGTGACTCCTAAGAACTTCCTCAATATCCTCAAGGGTAACGCGAGCGGTGTTGAGGGCGGAAATGGACGCGTCATTGAAAGGCATGTTTGAAGTTGATCTGGAAAAAAATTCTTCGTAAATACCAGTTCTGGATTACAGTAACCCAAATGACCGAATTTTCGTCTTTTTCACCGACCATGGCGCCGTGGGCCTCATTGCGTTCCCGGACGAGATGGTACGTACACGTAATCGTTATTTTTACCCTTTATTCATATTTTCGTGCTAATGAGCACCTCTTGAAAGGCTTGTTTCAGTTGACTGTGAAGGAATTGAACAGTGCCTTGAAGTGGATGCACGCCAATAATCGTTATGATCAGTTGGTATTCTACCTGGAATCCTGTGAAAGCGGCTCGATGTTTGAGAACGTTCTTAAGAGCAATATAAATGGTGAGTTCTGCCAAGAATATCCTAGCAGGTCGTGCATAGTACTGGCCAGGCGCTAAAAGCGCAAAAACGTGAAGCGGCGACAAGCCAGCAACAACAACAACGTGGTTCACACAGGGGTTACCCAACGTTGATGAGTCTCCAGAGGGAGGGGGTAGGGGAAGATGGGTCTACTTGACCATAGTTGAATTATGAGTGTGCTGAAAGTATCTTATTCGAAAGGGTGGGGGAGAGCGATAAGATTTAGTCGGATCACGGATTGTTGGGAAGATTTCTCAGGTTTTTTGAATTCTCACAGAGTTTGCAAATTTTTAGAAATCTTGGGAAGATTTCTTTCTCGCCTTGAATGAATTCTTATACTACTATTACCCGAAGGTCTTCACCCATATCTTCTAACCCTCCTTTCGGCCCCCCTTACCTCCCTTCCCACCACCCTCAAGGTTCCACGGACGCTTGTGCTCAGCGTGGCCACATGGTCCTTTAAGATATCTCCCGATCCTCGTATCTTGTTGCAACGACTTGAGATTTGTTCCCGGTGACGATTTTCGGGCTGTGCATAGCCCGATAGTAGGAGGATCTACGCTGATGTGGTGAGGACTATGAAATATTGGGAATGGAAGTGAGCTTGATGTCCCTCAACAACTTGAAAAATTGTACTATCTAGCTTCGGAGGGGGTTGCTTGTTACCGCTCGATGTTCCTCGATCATGCTCCTATCCTTGATTCACTCTTGCACCTTATCGGGGACCCAATCATCATTAATAACCCGTGCCAGAATCTGCCATATAAATACATCTAACCGAAAACGCTTCACCCTGCCTGCTCCATCCACGCACACACATGGGAGTTCTAGTATTAGAGATAGCAAACAATGTCCGCAATGCATACATACACTCAGCTAGAAACTTGGCCTAATCTCAAATTGCATTTTAAGAACTTGAAAAATATCTATACCTCACCCTTCCTAACCGCATCCTTTCGATACGGTCGTCTCTCCAGTACTAGACCTTCCTGCATCTTACCGCCTTCCTAAATCTTGCCACTCTTGCGAGCCAAACCCCCAATTTAAGCACCTTCTCACGAGTTCACTCGTTCTTATGCTTCTAACGAGCTCACACAGTAGCTTTTGTGTTGAATAACGATTAGTTTACGCGATCCCGCCAGCGCATTCCCACATTCCGATTCAGGGCACGTTCTGCGAGAACGATATGCGTTTACCATGCCTGGGCGATCTATTTTCCGTGAACTGGATGAAGGATTCAGATGAGGTGAGATTTTAAATTTAAAAAGGCAGTGAACACGTGGCCGGCAACTTTCAGTCCAAATTCTTCCAGGAAGACATCAACCGTCGGAGACGCCGAACAACCTCTAAAGAGTTGGCAACTTGACGACTCTCTCACACTGATGCTTGCGGGATATCACATCCGCCAACCGTAGCAGTCAGGCTGTTCCAAGACAGCGAAAGTACATTCGAAGAAAGTTGAGTATCACTGATATGGTTTCCGAGTCGGCTAGTGCTTCGACCACAAACCAGATATCAATCCTATAGGTGTCCGACGACCGTTAGGCCGTCAAGAATGTGAGTATTACCATGCACGCCAACTCAAAGACTCCACCTAACACATCTATGAAGCCAAGGATCTCACGGAGAATTCGATAGATCATCAGTACCCACGGATTGCTGTTTCGCTACTTGAACTTTCCTGAACCTTTCAGATCAAAGAAGCACTAAAATATGGCCGGAAGCTAGCTTCTAGAAATGTTGCAAAAAGGGATGTATAAATTCCCCTTAAAGATAAGACTAAGTATGACCCCCTCGTCTGACTTGGGCAGCTAGACTACCCTGCGTGGAATCAACTTTGAGAATAACGATCCGAAAAGTGACATCTTCCATTTCAGGACCGCCGTGGCATCAAGTCTTTGGTTCTGGAACTCACCGACAATCTCATCGAAACTCTAGCCGACAGGTATCAGACCCTAGCGTCCTAACGAAAGATCAAAAACACCTATCAAAGATTGGTGCCCAATTAAACAGCTGTATCTCATCTGATCAATCCTGTCATTTCAGACGACGCATGTTCGAAGAAAGAAATACCGTGGAGGATTTGGACTGCCATGACGAAGTCGTACGAGCGTTCGATCTAATTTGTGTTGATATAAACAAGGTCAGAATTTTAAAAGCCTTAAAAATCTTTCTTTTCAATGAAAATAGCAAGAAAATCTACAATTTTGAGAAATACTTGAAATTAAACTTTGTCCGTACCCATTAGAACTTGTGATTAGTGGCTGGGCGCTATTATTAAAGGCAAAGTTCGGGCTCAGACCCACCTAAGAAGCCCTTACCATGGCTAGAAGTGCTGGTACGCAAGTGCAAAGGTAGCGCCACCTTTCTACATCGAAACGCGTCACTAGGACCCTAGGCGCCATGGACTTCTAACAGACTCCACCAAACTTAACATGGTCCGCCCACCGTTCGATATCTTGTCTGCGTCGCTGCGTTGATCTGCTATGCTCTCTCTTCTCGGACTTCTCTACCGCTCTCCGCGCTCACATTATCTCTCATCTCCCTGCCTGTCCTTTTAACTTCTCCGCAGCGTAGAGCAAGAAGGCTCGTATTTCCTATGTAATCACAATTTTCTTTCCATTTTCGTCCACATGTAGTTTTTCCTCCCATTCACAATTTGACCCTGATACTTGTCTTTGAATCATATCTCATAGTAACTCGTCTCGAGATGATTAACCTACATAAGCTGGTACGTACGTATGCTGTCATGAGTGGTCGCAACGTAGTCTACTTGAAGAGATCTACGTAGCGACGCCGCAGCGAATCGTTACCTAGTTGTAGCACTTAAAGGAGGATCCACGATGAGAAGGTTGAAGAAAGGGGAAAGTTGCTTAGTGGAGGAGACAGGCGGACCTTCTGAGAGTGCGCACTGAGACACAAT